ATCCCTAGTGGCTCTTAGCATATGGTAACTTCCATTGTGTCTTATTTGATTTGATTTACTTTTTAAAATGTTTTTATTGATTTTTTTTTTTACAGGAGAAGGGAGAGGGATAGAGGAATAGAAACATCGATGAGAGGGAAACATCATCGATCAGCTGCCTCCTGCATGCCCCCCACAGTGGATCAAGACCCCAACCTGAACATGTGCCCTGACTGGGAATTGAACCAGTGGCCTCTTGGTTCCTGGGTCGACACTCAGCCACTGTGCCACACTGGCCGGGCTTATGTGATTTTAAATTAATGTAATACTCATTAATCATGGCCAGTTGAATGCAGGAGTTTACTACTGCTCACTCACAAAATGTCACAGTAAAGGGATAAAAATAATAAAAATAAACTCACAACACAGCATGAACTGAAGATGGGTACACAGGGACACAGCTTCTTACATGAACTTTCCATTAGCTGTCTGTCTTCAAGTTCCTCTTGTATCTTGGCTGACAAGTGTATGGTGCCATGAAGTTTGGAGCCTCTCCAGAGTTCTGTGGCATGAACTGGCTTGTTTTTGTTGGCATTTCCTCACTGCAGGCCTATGCTTTGGCCTTGTTTATTCCATCAACTTTCCAGCTTTCAAAAGAATTGTCACTTCTCATTTGTTTCATCTCCTCTCTTTTTCTCTTTGCCTTATGGGCTTATGCTTTTTGCTTCTTTTCTGACATTTTAGTTAGATTTCAGGATGAATGGTAATAAAAACATGGGTTCAATTTGCCAAGTTTAACTGAAAGTCTTCTTTTTCGTCCTCTTTTTGTTTCTATGTGTGTCTGGTCTACCCAACTAGATTGCAAATGAATACCGAGAAAATCACTGTTGAAGTGTTATTTCTACATTGGTATAGCACCCTTTTACTAGTAAACAGGAGTTATACTAAAGTTTGTGGCTATTACTGAATACCTTGACTAGCACACACAGAAACTCTTGGGGGTACACAAAAGACTTTCCAAGAACATTGGCAATCTCCAGGTCCTCAGCATCTATCAATACCCTCTTCTTAAATTCAACTGAGAACGTCTGCAACACACACTGGTTTTCCTTTCTCTCTTGTTCTTTCATAAGGCCTTTCTCAATCTTTACTATGTACACATATACATACACATCTAGTCCTTCTATAGTACAATTTTTCCAGGGTGAAAAAATCTGCAGGGCAGCATACAAAAATACAATTTGAGATATTGGTTTGGGTCAACTTTTTTCAATTAAGGTAACATAATCCAAGGTCTGGCTTCTCTCTCTCTCTCTCTCTCTCTCTATATATATATATATATATATAATCAGAAAATGGACATTTGTCCTATGTCTGATTTTACATATATTGTAGAGTGAGGGAAGGAGGCAGTAATGACAATTTTTAATTGAAGACTTTCCCTCTTCCATCATTTGTCAAAGAAAGCATTGCTCCTGAGGAAGAGTCCAGTGATATGAAAGCAAAGCAGAGAAATGCTGAGGATGACACCTGATTTCTTACAGCTAATGGTAAAACTCTACATCTTATTTAATTATCTTAGAACACTATCAGTCAGATGTGTAAAAAACATACTAAGGCCCAGCCAGCATGGCTCAGTGGTTGAGCATTGACCTATGAACTAGGAGGTCACAGTTAGATTCCTGTCAGGGCACATACTATGGGTTGCGGGCTCAATCCCTAGTGGGGGGCTTGCAGGAGGCAGCCAATGGATGATTCTTTCTCATCATTGATGTTTTTATCTCTCTCTCCCTCTCCCTTCCTCTCTGAAATCACTTAAAATATATATTAAAAAAAACATACTAAGACAGCACTCATATCTTAGATTCTAAATACTATTCTTCAATTTAAAATCAGGGCAGGTCCCTTGGAGAAGTGGTTGGTTCAAAAAATGGGGCAGGGAGGCAAGATGAATCTGGGACACCTTGTTATCTCAGAAAGTAAGAAAATTTTTTTTGTGGGTTTTTTTTTTTTTCAAAAAGAGGATGTGCTGAAAGAACAAAGGAGCCAACCTGAAGGAGCTCTCCTGGTAGCCAAAGGTGGGACAATTTGAGCAACAAAATAAATAATGGTATTATTGGATTCTAACCCACATAACAAATAAAATCCATGTGTCCATAATGTAAATAATTAAATAAATACGGGGGAGATGAGACAGCTCTTCTGTATAAAATTCCAATTAGTGTAGAAGGAAATAGAAAGTCACCATTGGCAAAACATCACAGTAATAACTGTCATACTCATGGATACAGAGAACATTTTGACAGTTGCTAGAGGGGAGAGCAGTTGGGGGGCTGGAGGTTAAGAAGCACAAATTGGTGGTCACAAAATAGTCATGGGGATAAGTACAGCATAGGGAATATAGTCAATAATATTGTAATTACTATGCATGGTGCCATATGGGTACTAAATTTATCAAGGTGATCACTTCATAGGTTATAGAAATGTCTAATCATTGGGTTGTACACCTGAAACTAATATAATGTATGTCAACTGTAATTGAAAAATAAATTATTTAAAAAATTAACAACCCCTCTCCCCCAAATAACTGTCATAGACAACATCCACTAAAACTAAGTGGATGAGTGTGAGGAGAAACAATTTGCATAATCTCAAAGTATCTCCCCCAAGGTATTTATTAACTAACTTTACAATGGAGAAACCTGACAGAAGCCACCTTAACCAAGTGTTCAAGGTCAACATCACCAATATATTGACATTAGGAATCTTGTGATATGATGGAGTGAGGACACAACTGCATTTCTGTGATAGTCTTCCAAAAAGCATAACTTCAGTTCAATGAGAAAACGACAAACCCAAATTGAGGAACATTAGACAAAATAACTGATAAATATTCTTCAAAAGTGATAAGGCCTCAAAGACAAAGACTGAGGAACTGCTAGACAGTAGTAGACTTAGAAGTAAGTAAATATATTTTCTGGGTAATATTGTGGAACAGGAAAAGGACATTAGTGGGAAAACTGGTGAAATATGAATAAGGTTTTTGGTTTGTTTTTTTTCACATTAATTTCTTGGCTATCATTGTACTATGGTTATGTAAATGCTAACAGGGGAAGCTAGATGAAGTATATATGAAAATTGTAATATTTTTACAACTTTTCTACAATTGGCTCAAAATAAAAATTAAAAGAATACATAAAACCATGAATATGAAGTATACCTTCTGTGCACTTTTTTCCATATCCAGTACTAACCTGTGGCCTACTGCCATATTTTGATTCCAGGACAGAATTTCAATATTGTACAGTTATACTAACAAAATGTTTGAGGATGAAAACCTATGATCTAATGACTCCTTTTGAAATGGTTGTGGTTGAGACATAATACATTTACTAAAGACTGGCATTAAATAAAACAGCAAAAAGATAACAGAAGCGTAAACTTGTGAGCACAAACTCTGAGTTTTATTTCATTGCAAGTGATGTTACCTATGTACACATTTTTTTCTCTTTCAAGTTAACTGCTGAAATTGCCCTTAAAGAGACCACACTGTAAAATGTGTTTAATTACTAATTTATTAAATTTTCCTGTCAATTGACACATTCTGTATGGAGCCTTTCAAGGAAGTTTTGAGAATTTATTTACAATCACCGAAAGCAGGTGGTTCTGTAAAACTTACAGGTGATTGTATGCTCCTAAAACTCACAACATACATATTTCAACATTTATACAGAAGCCCATTTTCTTCCAAAGTAATTTTCTCCCACTTTCTCATAAAAATATAAAAAAGACAACATTCATAGTTTTAAAAACCTATATTGAACCCAAATCAAGGTTTCTTTACAAATGTATTTTTCCAAAAAGTTAAAAGACATCACAGAGTAATCTGATGTTAAGTACTCTTATCACAGCAGAGTGATTTTAAGAAATATTGTGCAGTATTTTTTAACCTTTCATGCTAGATTTCAATTGTGTATGTGCTATATTAACACATCATATTTATGTAGTACATTGTTGTATATGACCAGTTACCACATAAACTGTCCTACTAAAATCATAAAAATGGTAAAAGGCAATCTTTATGAAAGCTTAAAAAATCTCAACAAAAGGCAACCAACATCACCCTCATTTTCTGTAAAAATTACCTTCCTTCCTCCTACTTTCTTTCCCCCTTTGAATGGTACCTTTTATAGCATATTAACACACAAAGAAATATATTTGTATCATTTTTACTTGTTAGCCTTTTAAATGACTGTTTTCTGATACACTGAATTTACCCAAAGGCACCAAGATTCCTAAGTAGTTTCAACATTTTTGTTCCTTTTTAAGTTTCTCTAGAATGATGCTCCTCAGATAAGTGTAACGCTAAGAACCAGAAGAAAATAAATGATACAACACAGTAACTTGAAACTTGTACCATCAAAAAGGTAGAAATATATTAATAGGTTCCTTGAACTTTTCATTTAGGACAGAAGGCAAAATAACTTTCTGAACATAAACATAAAAATAGAGCACATTTATCAACAAAGACGCCTAAGCTTATAATAACAATGTATTAAATCTGACATAAAAACACACAGAAATTCACTGCCAGATATTCTGATGCATTATCCTGAAAATATGTCATACATAACACTAACATATAACAAAGTATAGCATTGTTTTCACAGGGAGAAAAGAGTTAGTTTGTTTTATTCTAAATATTTTTTATTGATTTTTTTTTAGAGAGGAAGGCAGAGGGACAGAGAGAGAAACATTGATGTGAGAGTGAATCATTGACAGGCTGTCTCTGCATGTCCTCCACCAGGGAATGAGCATGCAACCCGGGTATGTGCCCTGACTGGAATCAAAGCAGCAATCTTTTGGTGCATGGGATGACACTCAATCAACTGAGCCATGTGGGCCAGGGCAAAAATAAATTTTACCACAAAAACAGAATTACTGGATTTCAGCTTTTGATTAAGTGTTAGAGATAAATATAAAAAAGAAAAACAAGATTCACTCTTAAAATAAAAGTGTGTGTGTGTGTGTGTGTATATATATACATATATATATATATATATTTCATTAATACTTTTTATGCTCTTACAATGTAAAACATTTAGAAACTTCTGAGCTCTCAAAATTTTGGCCAGTTAATCTATTTGGCTTTAACATATTCTAAATTCCCTTTTGAGAATCAGATTAAAGTTTATGGTCCATCAGTCCAATATAGGTAGAGCGACTCTATTTCTTTTGCTTCTTTTTTGGTGGTTCATCTTCGGAGCTGCTATCCGTGCTGGTGCTGCTACTACTGGAAGAGCTGGAATCTGAGTCTGAATCAGAGGATGAGGAAGAGCTTGTGGAGGAGGCTGAAGATGATGAACTGGAGGAGCTTTCATCAGTATCACTGTCCTCAGAGGAGGATGAGGTAGATGTTTCTTCACTCTCTGATGAAGAATCACTGGCTGAACTGTCACTGCTATTGCTACTGGAGCTGGTTACACTCTTAGACCTATTAGACAATCAGTAGTTATATTCATGGGCAGCCAACATTTAATAAAATGTTAATTTCTGTACATGTATATAACTGAAGCTTTGCTAGCATGTTATTCCTACATTTAATGCTTTTGGGATTACCTATTATAACCATACTGCCTTCCCTCCCTTAGCAAGGTCATTTAGTAATTTAACTTTAGTAATTTAACTCTCTTGGATGGTATAATATACCTAATATATTATGCGCCACAGCAAATAAAAAATAGTAGAATAAAGTTGCAGTATAACAAATGGTTTTATTTAAACCTCATGAAGTAGCAAATGTTTCATAATCTCAAATACTTTAGACCAGGTATAGCTGGACAATAATTTCTTACCCGTTTAATAAAATTTCCTATTCTAAGCTAGGAGAAATTATTTACTATTTCCAGGTAGAAGGACTCTGGAAAGTAAGAGAAAAAGGAGACATAAAGGAAATAAATTCCAGATAGATAAAGAAAGGAACATATCAGAAAATTGCAAACAAGAAACTTCAGATTCAAATCTTTACTATTTTAAAATCATTCTTCCTATCCCTCCAACTAGTATTACATATTAACTATATAATACTCCTGAAGGCACATACCTTTTTTTCTTCGTCTTTCTTTCTACATTAGTTTCTCCAATGCTGATAAACATGGGAAAAAGAAACTCCTATTAATAGAGTGATTATGCACAGCTCAGACCAACCCTTCTGTTATCTCCAAAACTATTCTATATTGGAGAAACACTTTGTCTTTTATAACATGTATTCAGAGTCCAGTATTATTTGTTATAACCAAATGGAAAGTTTCCTGTTGTAGGCTGTATGTGGTACATAGTCAACATAACCAGCAGTGAAGCAAGACATATTATCTATTAACTTTATCTTAGAAGCCAGGTAAGTTGGTAAAGATGACTGAATGTACCAATTTGATTCTTTTTTTTGTTTTGAACTTAGGTTGATATGGCTAAATCAACTACATCCTGAACAACAATACAAAGTAAATAATAGCACAATTGTAATTTATAATTTGAGTTTCCAGAGTAATATTATAAATGGCAATCCTATATAATAAAAGCCTAATATGTTAAGTGTCCAATCGTCCAGTCAACCAATCAAAATGTAATATGCTAATGATATGCTAAGGCCGCACAACCGCTTGCTATGATGTGCACTGACCAGCAGGGGGAAGATGCTCCGACCAGTAGTCCAACCAGTAGGTTAGCTTGCTGCTGGGGTCCAGCCGATTGGGACTGAGCAAGACGGGCTGGACATGCTCTGGAGCCCTCCCACGGTCTCTCCCCGGCTGGCCAACCTCCTGCATCCCTCCCTGGCCCCGATTGTGCACCAATGGGGTCCCTTGGCCTGCCTGCGTCCTCTTGCAATTCGGGACCCCTTGGGGGATGTCAGAGAGCTGGTTTCGGCCTGATCCCACAGGCCAGGCCGAGGGACCCACTGGTGCACGAATTTGGGCACCGGGCCTCTAATTTCATATAAAAAGCAACCTTTAATTTAAAATAACCATTTCTTTTTTGTATGTCCCCCAAATGTTCAGTTATTTATTGTGACAATTAATACTTCAAGACTGCGTTCCTTCACATCATTTACCAAGAACAAAGTCTGGTGATTTTTGAATGAAATATACAAATGGCTTGCTGCTATATTCCTGCCAAACAACATGCATAATAAATCAGGTTTTCAAATTCCAGAATTACTTCTATTATTATAGCATTGTCTTGTAAACTTAGTATTTCTATAGTCAGAACTTCTCTATAGTTCCTAGCTCAGGGGTGGGCAACCCCTAGCACGCATGCCAAACATGGCATGCCAGTAACTTTTGCTGGCACGCATTTACAATTTTTTTCTTAATATCGACACATTTTTTTTTTAAATAAATTCTTTTTTATTTTTCAGA